ACACCTCTAGTTTCCCATTTGTCATAGTGACATTTAGGACATGGACAAATTATTGTACCATTGACAGATCGATTCTCAAATGCAAAATCTAAAAATCAATTTAGCCCATCTAAATATTCAATTGTATTATGTGGCATATCAATCCATGATTTATCCATTTTTATATCTGTCAAGCTAAGTAAGAAATAATTAAGTTGCAAAAATATTTTATATATCCTTTATGTACATAAACCAAGGTATAGAAGATACATTAATACTCCTAAAATTCAGGAGTTTCTAGCTATGTTGTACTCTCAAATCCACAAAGGATATTGTCAAAAACTATTTTTACACATAAGGTTAAGGTTCTAAGGTTAAATTATTTGTCATAAATTACCTTCAATTTTTACGATTTTTATAATTGCTAAAAAAAACTTCTAATAATTACAAAGTTTTTTTGTAATGTGAGTTGCACATCAATACAATACTTTGCAGCAGCAACAAATATAAACAGTGGAATGCAAATAATAGGGTATGTAAGTTATCCAACCAGATATAAATTTGCAAATTTATTCTATATTTCATCACACTTAGGCATGGATCAAGTCAAGAACAATTCAACACCAAAATGGAAAGCACCAACTTATATATCCATATGTCGCTTATTAGTTGGTAAAATTAAACCATAGACCAATTTAATACCAACTCGTACAATTCTTGAAACTGTTGATTTAAAATGACAGAAATATCTTGCTTTATATAAGCATGAATGCTATGTTCTGGATGTTACCTAGTAGGATCAATCACATTATTTAGAAGAAAAACACAGAGAAGCAAAATTGAAACCCTAAACCCTAAATTAATCAAAAGAAAATGATACCTCAAAATTGAATCCAATTGAAGGGACAATGATTGAACTATGGAGTAAAATAGGAATTTGATGATGATATTAGGCTGGAAACAAACTTTCAGAGAGCTCGTCGATCCTGCGTGCAACTAATAGTGGAGGGGGATGTGAAGTGGTTGCAGAGGGGCACGTGGAGGGGATGCAAAGGCGGACACGGAGAAGACGCAGAGGGACACACGGAGGAGATGCAGAGGAGACACAGAGAAGATGTGGAGTGAGAAAATAGTCCTTACATGTAACTCTCAATTCTCTGATACTTCGTGAACCATTCTCTCTCACGAGACACACACTCACTAACTATGAAAAATGTAAAAATCAAGATGCACTCTAATTAAAATTAAAATTGTAGCGGTTTATTAAAATTGTTATAATTTTATTAAAATTGTATAAATTGTAGCGGTTTATTAAAATTATTAAAAATAAACCTTTACTAAATAATATTTTATTTGTAGTGATAATACCAACAATAACCTACAAACTAAGTGCTAGAATTGCTGAACAAAAAACTTTGCTCATTGTTCTCTAATTTGTGTGATATCATATTTTGGCAATGTAGATAGATCTTAAAATACCTTAAACATTAATTTGACTCTTGTAAATATGCAACACGCATAAAGTTAAATAAACTTAACTAATGTTGAAAACAATTACCTACGTCCAAGAATCAATTATACCCGCACAAACTATGACTTTCATCCAATACATGACATATTCAAATGAGTTTGTTTGCTTATTACACTGAAATGATGAATAAAACATAATGTTATTTTCAAAATTTAAATACAAACAATAATTGATGGTGTTCACTTATATAAATAAGTTTCTAACCTTAGGATAAATGAACTGGAAACTTTTTGTTCTTGGTCTTCCACTTAGAACATTAGTTCCAGACACGATTCTAATTGAAAAAAAGTCATATATTATTCAATATATATTTACACTTTAAAAACATAATTAGTGAATAAAAGATAAAGTTACCTTGTAACAAACTTTTCATTTCTTGACTCGGTTTCTGGTGTAATGAACAAAACCACACCACAGTGTAATCCTGGAGCATGATTACAATTGACTGCCAATGGGACCTACATTATATGACATAAAAATTAGTTATAAAAATACAAATTAAAATACAAATTAACATGATAACAAAAACACAAATTAAAATACTAATCCTTCAATTTATGAAGCCAAATATATATGTCTTTTTAAGTCATTCATCCATATTTTCATATATTGTTGGATTCCGACCTTTGTAATTTCAGTTTTTTGGATGGATTGAGGTTCAATAAATTCATATACTTCATATTTTTGTTATTCCACACTTAATTTATCAATGTACCTAAAACATATAGATGTGGTTTCATAAAATTGTCTTCATCAATATCACATATCATATCTTCTAGATTATCATTCATCCCTTCGTCAAAATTTTCTGTAGTTAACATAGTTGGGATGTCTAATATTTCTCCATACCATCTCCATATTGTATAACTCTTAATAATACCATAAACAAATAAGTGATCGCATATATATTCAAGTTTATGACGAATTTGATTCAAACAACGAATGCATGGACAATAATATGCCTAATATTTCACTAAAAATTTTAAAAATTTCTCAACTTCCTTTTTCGTACTCTTCACTAATACGACATGCATTCATCCAACTTTGATTCATATCTACCAATGTTATAAATTTTTGTCACTAGAGATTCAAAATTTATATTTAAAAAATAATAATATATAAACAAAAAGAAAGTGATTGACACGTAAATAGAGTGTGTAAACCAAAAATGCACTCGAATAAATAAACATAATGATATTCCAATAATAATCCAATGGAGACATTCATGCAATAACGTGATTAAGATCCCAAAAAATAATCACGGATTCAATTTGAACATATAACAGGAGACATAGAACACTAACCTCGAGTATACACGAAAACAATTAAAAACTCGAATCCAATCGGGGGAAACGTCAACTTCAGAAAATGAGACACAATTTTGATATTTTTCACAGTCAAAATGATAAAAAATGGTGTGGAAAAGGTAGTTTTCGTCGTCGTTCTAAAAAAAAACCCTTGCTGCGCGAGACGGAAAATGGCGCTGGAACAAAATAAAACCCAACTTTTACGTTGCACACTCCAAGATACGACGTAAAATGCCTCTTTTACGTCACACATATTCTGGTATGACGTAAAAGCCTTTTATGTCACTTCCCTTCAAGGTGTGACGTAAAAGTCCTGCCTCATATTTATGAAATTACCATCGCATTTTATTTATATCGGATATTTTTGAATGTGACGAGAATTTGATGACGTAAAAGACCATCTTTCAGTGTGCCTAAAATACAATAACAAAATATATTTACGTGTATCTTAACAATATTATATTGTAAAGTTACTGTATCTAAAATTTCCTACGAAGAGAGGAATTTTTCAACATTGGTGTTAGGCAAACTCGCAGATGGACACGAGGTGACAATCAAGAGGGGTGAAAGTGATTCCAAGATGAAGAAGTTTCAAGAGAAGGAGAGTGCACTAGGGTCTGAATTGACCATCTTCTCTTGCCTTCACCTCAAGCACTTGGTTGGGTTGGACTAGTTGGTATCTGCGAAGAGAAAGATGAGAGGCTCTTGGGGAATTGAGCAGATGAAGAATGATGCGGTGAATGATCATTTGCATGACAAGAACAATGCGTTAAATTGGAGGTGCAGAGCTATGGAGTTCCAGCGCTGATGGAAGGGTTTGGGGTTGAAAAATACACAAGGACATTTTTCTTATTTTTACATGTTATCGGGTGCAGGAAAAAGTGTGAGGACTTTGGAAGAATGTGCAGTTTGAAAGCTATGCGACCTTTGACCGCATATTTCGGGAGAGAGACTGTCTTGGTTAAGTCTCGACCTTTGATCGGTTGTTTATCCGTTTGTTCTCTTAAAACAATTATTGGATATCCATCAACTAGAAAATAATCAGTATAAATATATGAAGAAAATTTAGCAAATTTAGCTAGAGGAAGAATAGAAATAGATAATCAAGAAAGTAGAGAAAAAAAAATTGTTATAAAATTATTCTTCTCCACTTTAGGAATCATCTAAAATTAAGATGTTTTAAGTTTATTGATAAAAAAAAAAATTCAAGTTATGAGTGATTTTTTTTTTTTTATTGGATGAAAAATTTTGTTGGTAGTTTTGATCGAAAAAGAATTGTTTCTTGTGATCTACATAAAAATATAACGATTAAAAGTACAAATATTAAGTAATGTTTTAATCCATATATTTATTGATATCTTTTGTTCGCTTTAATTTTGTAGCTTAAGGAAACCAAGTATAAGGAACAAAATCAATGATAACATGCATGGTAAGCAATACAAGAAAGTAAAAAGTAGTCCTAGTCAGCCACAATTACATAAATAATTGTTTAATTATGGACATTTACCTAACTATGCACAACCACTTAATATAATTTAAATAGTAAAATAGTCTCTAATATATCTGATAGGTTGGATTAAATGTCTCAATTCACTTAACTACGTTAATGTATTATGGTTAGCTTGTCAAACAATCTCTCACGTTATTTGTAGATTGAGACAAACTAATCCACCAATTATTTCTTTTTTTAAAAGTTACGAATTAAAATTGTATCAGAATTTAAATTTAAAAATTGGATCATGTATTTTTATTTTTTAGCTCTATGGAAAAATTAAAATATTGATTTGTTACTATTAATTTATTTTAAATTTAATTTCTCTAGTAGGATAAACAATTATATTTAAATATAGACTAACATATTAAGATATTTTATATTTTTAGATAAATATATTTTTTTCTCTGGCTCTTGTCAAACTATTCTAGATAAAGGATTTAAATTTCCAACCAATAGTTTCACGAATGAGCCAACTGGGATTGATTTCTGGAACTGACGCGAAAGGGATTTGAACAAGCTTATTGCATGGGGGAAAGGGGTTGGATTACTGATTAATAACAACCTTAATTTGCTTGGATTCGGGTACTCTGCAGTAAATATTAACCAAAAACATAACTGTCAAAACTAACAATTGAACAAGCCATACATTATTTCGTTCAAGGTTGAACTTTTTTGTACTGGTGCTTCTCTAGCCGGTGTTCCTGAGCACAGGACAGCTCGCACCAGCATCTTCAGCACTGCCCTCAAACTCAGCACCCTTCAGGAGACCTCCCAAAAGCTCCGCAGGATCATAAAAAAACTCCACCTTCACTATTTTTGAATTCTCATCCAACTATCACAGTAAACATGAATACATCAATCAGTGTATAAATGTGAATAGTCTTATTGAAAATATATAACGCTAATTCAGTATACTTATTACCGTGAAAATGGCCATTCCATAGAGTTCAATTTTCTCCCCAGTGGGTGCGTGGCCTTTGAAGGGACCCTCCATGAAGCCCCAGTGCCTGAACTTGTACACGATCTGCGGTGGTCCAGAATAGACTTGGAGAATCTCCAGAGCAAAGCCACGAGGAAACGTGGTGGTAAAGGCCTTGTGGGCTGAATCTGCTGTTTCTGCATATGGATTGTATGGCCTTAGTTTCTCCGGCAGAGAGGTTTGCAGGAGAGGGATGTACCCTCCACCAAGCTTCCTTTTCTCTGCCAAATTAATATCCTTACTTCCTGTTCAAACAATTAACATGAAACAAATTCAAACTCAAGAATTGAGTCTGCAACCAATTCTACTTCTGAAGATAAAATGCCACCGTTTAGGCTGAAAGTGTATTTCTCTGGATCCACTGATCGGTTCTCCTGGAAATCCAGCTTGTGGAACATTTCCATTTCCCAATGTTTGACTATACTCTGCACCTTCTCTTCCAGTGAACCCGGAGGCCATACCTGTCATCAAAAACATCATCAAGCTCTTATGAGAAAGAGAATTAAACCCTAATTATTACCTTGGTTCGGCCTTCTTCAAATAGTTTGTTGACAGCTTCATAATTTGGAGGTCCATATCTCCATTTGGTGTTCTTCTCAATGTCTTGGTGCAATAACGGACGGTATTTGTCCTCCTTTACACTCGTAGATGTCATCTTTACTGCACTACGATGTTTTCCTCGTTTCTCCTCCTTCTATTTATAGGAAAGATGGACTTATTCCTCTAAACTTAAATAAATACAAATAAAGTTAACTAAATTGCAAAAAAAGGTAAAAAATACGAGGATAATTTTTTTATAATAATAATAATAATAATAATAATAATAATTAAATAATAAAATATACCATTAAATCAAACTATTTTAGGTACATATGTTGTAAAAATGAATATATATTTTTCTTAATAAATTTATTAAATTTTGGTAGTATCACAGTTGTGCACGTAACGTTGACTTGAATTGCCTAGCATACAATAACCAAAATGTAACTCACAGTTGACTTAGTCAAAAAGAAAGAAAAATATCAATTGGATTCAGACGCTTTTTTTTTTTTCGGATATTTTGATCTCTCTTTTTCTATATATTTTAAATATTTATGCATCAATAATATTTATTATTTAAAAATATATTCATTCCAGCCCTTCCCATATGCATCCGGATCATCTACTGCAATGTTCTCCACCTATCTCCCACCAGGGGCCGAAGAGGATCGAAAAGGACATGGCCCTAAAATATTAAATTCTTTTCAATTTTATTTTAAAAAATAATTATAATCTCCTTTGAAAAAATTATATATACAAATTTCTTCTCTATCTACGATCTTAATATTAACAACACATCTTATCTGATGGCTCACATATTTAAATATTAAAATAATAAATTAAATATATATTTTTCTTATATTTACTGTGAATCTAGATTTTAATCTTTATATTATAAAAGTTTAATATTGAAAAAATTATAATTAAATACTAAATTTATATATAAAAATAATTAAATACTAAATTTAATCACTTAATAATTTTTTACGGTTAAAAATAACCATTAAAATTTTAATTTAAGTATAAGAAAAACTTAAAATAATATATTTTCAAATTTGGGTGATTGAATTATTCAATTTAAAATTATAAGAATAAAATTAAGTTCACAAAAAATATACAGATAACAAGTATATTTATCCTTAAAAAATTAATATTGTAATTGAAAAAGCCTTTATTTTCCTTACTGATACTTGTTGGAAATCTTGAGCAAATCTTCTCTTGTCTGGTGCAACTTACTTTCATGGTTTGTTTTTCATCTACTAACGTTTCACTATTAAAATATTAGTAATTTTTTATGAATTTATTTTAAAAAATTTATTTAATTATAAGAAACTTATTTTTTATAATTTTTATATAAAATTTGCAAAAATATTTCCATAAAATATGAAAATTTTTAGTAATATTTTTTTTACTTTTAATTTCTTTATTTCAATTTTATTTACATATTATTTATATGTTGCCTTTGTTACTTGTCTGCATTTCATATGAGAATTATTTTATAATATGATATATATGTACGGGCTTTCTTTCATTTATCTTTTTGTTTACTGTTTGATAAAAATATTTATTTTGTGACAAAAATAAACTTTCTATTTGATAAACGTGGGATTATTAACATAGGATGCAAGAAGATCGGAAATCAAAGACGAGGAATTATTTATTATTACGAAGATACTTGAAAGTTTTGGGTTGATTATGATTTAAAAAAATAAAGATTTGAAATGAGAAAACATTACACACTTAAAAAAAAAAAGCATACTCAAAAAAAAGCCTGACAAACGTGTATAAAACAATTAATCCAAGAGCAGAGACTAGAACCAAGTATAAGTAAAAAATTGAGAATTAATATTATAAGTGAAAAATTAAGAATTCATAAATTTGTGGAGGAAAATGTTATATAAGCCATCAGGTAGAGTTGGCTAATGAAGTTTCTTACATCAAAGCAAATCATTTTGTTAGATGAGTCAACAAGTGAGAGTTAAAACTAATTTTGGATATACCATATTCATAAAATAAAAAATTATCTTTAATAACAAAGATAAAGAAATTTGATGCATTGAGAAAGTTAACTGTAAAAGTAAATTTAGTATGATTAGTTTGAAAGACTCAGAAAATATATTAGATTAAGTAGAAATAATTATTTTCTAAATTGAATAAGACTTATTTTTTATTTAATTTATTTAAGTCATAAGTTTAGTTAATTTGTTGCACTATGAATAATTTGTTTTATAAAATAATTATTATTCTTTTAAATAAAAAATAATATTATTTTATTGATATATATATATATATATATATATATATATATTATACTTTGACAAGTTATTCATTTCTTTTAAAAATAAATATCAAAATAAATCTCTAATAAATATTTAAATAAGATTTAATGACTAAGATTAATTATTATTTTAAATTAATATATTATTAAAAAATAAATAATGATAATAAAAAATAAAATTTTAAATATTATTTTGAGATTAAATAAATGTATTATTTTATAATTTATATATTAAATCATTTATATTAAATAAAAATTAATTTTATTAATAAAATTTAAATTTTCAAAATACTTTTTTAATTAATTGATTTGGTTTGGATATGCTAAATGTTTTTTTTTAAATAATCAAGCTAAAATTAGCTCGTTGGCTTATCATAAGAAGATATTAAATTAAAAAATTTGGTCATCAAAATTTTTTATTTGACCCGTATGGTCAAGTCAGGTTGACAACTGTAGCCACATAAGGTAGTCCACACTGTAACCATGCAGATAACGTTCACACTGTAGTCATGCGACTAAAAAATAGAAAGACTAAAGTTCCCCAGAGCCCATAAAAGTAGTATAAATAGGCGAGATTCGCAAGGTATGAACATATATGCATTAACTCTCACATAGTTTCTCACTTGACTGACTTAAGTGTCAGCGTGTCTTTGATAGGGAAATTGACAATACTTTGGATCGAGGATAGAGCGTATCGAGAGGTGAAATCACAGGCACTTAATAGTATATCAACAGAAGTACAAAGTCAGTTCACCATTCAGTAGGAGGTTCTCGACCAAATAAGAATATTTGGCGCCCACGGTGGGGCTAAGATAAACTCTTGAGAGGTATGGTGATGTAGACATAAAAGTCCAAGTTCATGAGAAAAAAGATGAAGATCTAATTGAAAACTTAATTGGACCAATGATTAAATGAAGGATTAGAAAGGCCTAACAAGTTTTACAAAAGAAGATGACTCTGTTATGGGAGGTTCAATAGTCAAAGACCCAAGTCACTAAGGAGGCTAAGTTGGTTAGATGTGTAGTGAGCTTTGAGAGTTAAAAATCACTTCTTTGTTGGAGCTGGGATTTTAACCCAACACCATTAACTTAATATTTGATTAATTTTAATTCTTTTGTTTTTTTCCTTTTATTATAAATAAAGTCAAATCCAAGAAAACCCTAAATTTTTGTATTTATGATTGTTGAATTGAGAAAAGATGCAACAAATAATTTTTGCTAGAGTGAGAATATTTTTCTACTAGGATTATTCCTTGTATCTTTGATCTTATCAAGAATTCACTAATTCTTGTGACGATCATCCTTAGGCTTATCAAACTTTGTTTGTGGCCCATTCCTTTATTTAAATTTTCACTATTTTGTTCTCAATTCCTAATTTTCTATTCTTAATTGATTCTAAACGCTAAATCTTTTTGTGTCAATTCTACTTGCAATTTTATCATTTGGTATTAAGAGCAAGATTTTGTTGCATATACCTTTCATTATTCTTGTCACTTTTACTATTCATGTACTATTTACGATACTATTCTATGTTGTTCAGCACTATTCAAGCATTGTTTCGTATTGGTCACGATACTGTTCATAGCAAAAAAAGAAGTTGAAAAAAAGACGTTTTTTTAAAAGAGAGAAAGAATTTTCAAAAAAATGAAGAAAGAAGTTTGAAAAAAAAAATAGTTATCAATCTTTATATTCAGTTCACATCAATTGTTTTCTAAAATTCCTATTTCAAGTTTCTTTTTTAAATTCATATGGTCATGCTTATTTCTTGGTAGCAAAATTGTTCTTTGTCTCTTTTATGAATACAATTTTTTTTTAGTATTGTCATTATTAATCTTAAGAGTGAATATTGATGGTAGATTGTTTGGTTCTTGTAAGAACCTCAAGTAGAGAATGAAATAAAAGACAGTGTGATCATTGATAAAAGAGTTGTATTGGGTGAAACACGAGTGTGAAGTGTATACACATAAGAGAGTGTTGTGAGGATAAATTATTGTTATTTCTAATTTGTTTGTTGAAGCATGACAGGGGAAATACCAAATACTAGAATTTCACAAATGAAAATGCAAGTTTTGATTCAACATTTGGAGAGACTAATGAAACACACAAAGTGATGGACTCTATAATAGAATGTACCGAGAAGCGGAGACACGAGCACTTAGCGGTATATCAACTGGAGTACGAAGTCAGGTCACCATTCGACAGAAGTTTCTCAGCCTTGTAAGAACATTTGACACCCTTCGTGGGGCTAAGAGATACTCTTGAGAGGTATGGTGACAACAAGAAACATGATAAGTGACGAGAGATCACTAGCTGGAGAAGAGAATCACATGAATGAAGCATCCTTGATAGCAGAACTAAGAAACAAATTGGAGAACTTTAAAAGGCGAAGCGTAGGAGAACTAGACGCCTTGAGGCAGGAAAATGCTCACATACGCTGAAAACTAAACGAGCAAGAAGGAACTTCCTAACAAAAATTCTTGTCCGAAAACTAGGTGGGGCTCTCTATCAGCACACAAGTCTGGGAAGGTGAATTGTTGAATTATTGGCAAACGTAACAAAATTATCAATCGCAGTATAATATTTCGATTAAATAAAAGTCGATCCCACGAGAAACGGTTTCAATGGAAATTCCCAATTATATGCTTACTAAGTGGATTAAAACAAATTGGGTGTTGCAATAAGAGTTGAATTAAAATTGAATGACAAAGAACTGTAAATTGTTGAGAAAATATCAATTAAAGGCAATTAGGATTGACTTCCTTCCTTATCTCTCTTTTGTAATAGTTATGTCAATTAAGAACGTCAATTAACCTAACAATGTTGATGCCACCTACTCAAATCATCCATGTTGATTCCTCACACATGAAATTCATTAGAAAACCTAATAAGTGTTGATTCCTCACACAATTAAGAGATTTTCTAGCATTAGGTTTAGGGTGTTAAGCAATTGATACATTCATTCCATTCTTAGCAATTAACGTAACAAATATTATTACCGTGATCTAGGGTTCAAGATATATTTTCCAATCATACCCCAAACACCAAGAATAAATCATTCCAAAACACAAAGGATAAGAATAACAACATCAAAACATAGATTAATATTTCAAAATATCACCATGATACAAAAGAGTTCAAAGGAAGTGCACCAAATTCTAAGAGAATGAAGTTAGTCACTCATGTTGGCCATTACAATGCTCAAAATGTGGAAGAAGTGAAGAATTGATGAAGCTCAGACGAAATCCTAGCATTAGTCACACTTCTTCTTCTCCAAACTACTTGCCTTTCTCAAAACACATATTCTCTTTTTATAAGAAAAATTTGGGCTTTTGGGCTTCGCATCTTTCGCTCGAGCGACAACTTTCGCTCAAGCGAAAGTTGCCTATTTTCACTCAAGCGATAAAACGCTCGCTTGAGCGAGTGAACTCCAGAGAAGAATAACTAACATTCGCTCAAGCGAATCTTCTTGCGCTTGAGCGACTGACTTCCAGATAAGAATAACTGATATTCACTCAAGCGAGAGTCTATCCCGCTCGAGGGACTTCCATGCTAAAAAACTTCTTCCTTCTTCCAGTTTTACTCCAATTATGCTGACAATTATGCTCTTTACTCTTGTATCAAGGTATTCTCAAATTTATCCTATATTGGGAGAAAAATACATTAGAATTAGCATAAGTTAAGTGGTTTCGTAACAATTAAAGGCATAATTATATCAACTTTTTACAACTTAACATGAAGCCAATAGTAATGCTCGGGCAACAACTCATACGTCCATGCACCCCTCATTGCAGCTTGGAGGACTCCTATTCATGGACGACATCATTGAGACACTCTACCCCTAACTTGGAAGAACATTACCATCGAGAGGTATGACGGATCAACTGACCTGGACTAGCACGCTGATGTGTATGTGACACAAGTTGGTCTGTACATCATGGAGGATGCCATATTTTGCTGAGTGTTCC